AGTGTAATTTATAATTAGATTATATGTTTGCAGTTGCATTGAATATGAAATTGGATTTCACAAATATAGAGTAATTGTAATTTAAATGAAATTACGTAAATTGTAATTGTAATTTAAAAAAACAGCTACTTTTTAACTATAACTACTTAGTAATTGCATAATTTTATTACAATGGCATACTACACACTTAGAACTACAATTATGATCATAATTTCACTATGTTAAGTAATTCTAATTATCAGAGACAATTACTTTCCTAATTACGTAGTTATAATTACTACCTACTGCAATTGCAGTTAAAATTACGTTGTAATTAGCTAATATAAAAATATTTGCAATTACAGTTTTATTGTAGTTGTGATTAGATGCAATAAAATTTGTAATTGTAATTAGATTATATAATTATAATGTTTGTGATTATCATTGCATTGTAATTGTAAGACTTAAGAATTAAAATGCAATTACATACATTATTGTTGCATTTAAAAAGTACTTACCTTCTAATTGTAATTGCGAAGCTAATTACAATTGCAATATAATTGAAATCACATATTTCAAAATATTGTTGCAGTTTCTTGCAATTTTAATTTTAATTCCAATTACATTTTGCCAAACTGCATCTAAAATTTGGAGAATAATTAGGCTGGAAAATGAAAATTCTCTTTACAAATATAAACATTTAAGTTTACTATAGCTGGTATAAGCACAGAACAGCTGGAAGTTTTGAACGAGCTATTTATTCCGAGCTGTTATTCAAAACCTAACGATAAAACCCATTTGCCCCTAGTGAATAGATAGTTTCCTCTCCTCAATTACCTCCCGCAGAGAAAAATTATCACCTGTCAGTTTACATTAAGAGCAGAGAGGGGAGGGCACTCTGAGACAGGCCGTATATATGCTGCTTTGCCGTTTCGGGCCAAAATTTAAGTTTACGCATATATGCTGCCTTGCCGCCATGAGGACCAAAATATTTGGACGCATATATGCTGCCTTGCCGCTATGAGAGCCATTATTTTCGAACGCATATATACGGCCTTGCCGCCTGGAGGGTTAAAAAAAAAATTTCTGCTTTTTGTTATGGCCTTTGTCTTCTATTGCCATTCATTTTATCCAGATCTAAATCTAGTTACTATCCTTAAAATGCCTTATCTTTAAATAGTTATTCTTAAATAAGAGTATCCGTAAATAGAGTATCCTTAAACATTAAGTGGCTGGAACATAGATTTCAGTTCTTCTGGTATTACAGGCATTTTTGCTTTCATTTCACGATACTTGTCTTTCACTGTATCTGTGAGATGAGCCTTGGATGAGTCTCAAACTAGCATGGATGGTTTTATTAAATACAGTGCCTTTTCTTCTGCTCCATGTTCTTTCCAACCAATCCAAGGTGCCACATTCATCCCACATTTCGTGGGCACTCACTAAACCTCCACTAGGGAATTTTACACACATGGACAGTCTTTCTTTTGAAAATAATTGCAGGAAGTAAATGGGTTCCATCTGCCATGTTGCAAAAAACTATCATATAATTGCATTTATTATGGAATATGTAGTATCAACAGTGTAATTTGATGGCAAATCAAATTGTACGAGAATTTTTTTTTTCATATTGCACATTTTACGGTACTTGAAGCACCATATTCTTTTTGTAATTTTATTATGTGTCACTGAAAGACTTCAACTTTAGCTTCTAGCTTTGAAGAGAGTTTTTTTGCAACCTTAAGTCAAGCTTTTCTGTATAAATTGTGCATATTTCATAGAATGATTGTACCATCCTGTGGAGACAGGGAAATCCACTGGCTTGCTTTTCAGAACCAGCTTTTGAGAGAATTCACTTGCTTCATCGTGTTCAATAACCTGATTTGGATAGGTAAACTGATTACAATAAAACCATTCATTCACAATTGTTGAATGGCGAGTTTTACCTCCAGTGCATGAAAAACCATGTGGTGCCTTTTTTTATCTTGGCATCTGCACTACTTCACCCCTCCCCAGTCTTGAACTTGTTTTTCATTTACAAAGTAATGCTGAGAAGCCATATTGCTGTTAGAATTTTTATGAAATGCGATCACCTGTAGTTTTAAATTTGCCATATAAGAATTTCTGTGTATGCTTATCTTTCAGTCAAAAAAATAAAATGGCTCAGTAAATAAGACTAGCAAGATCGTATAGTAAATGTAAATGAAAAAGTAGGGTTACCAGACCTAAAACTGTTATCATAGGTGTCTGGCATTTTACTGTACAGCAATTTGATTGGAAAATATTCCACCTGTGTTTTACCTGCATGGCAACACTTTTGCCCTCATTGTGGCATGTTTACACATTACAGGAATCTTTTTTTCATTTCGGTGAGTATATGAGCTGTAAATTTTGCATAAATTCTTGAAGAAAAATTTTTCTCTCTGCGTATGCACAAATCATTTTATATTCAAAAATATATGGTAATTAAAAAAAACTTCTGGATTAATTAAATTTTGATACATGAAATTGTAAGAGAAAAGACGAAAAAGATCAAAGGCAAAAAACTGTGTCATGCCTCCAGCTGACCAGAAAAAAAAAGTGTTTCTGAAGAACAACAACGTTCCATCTTAACGTTCTTCAGATGTTTCCATTTTGAGAGGGAGATCATGGGCTTGGAAAGAATAATTAGAAGTTAAAAATTTCTTTAAAGCATATATATTTCCACAAGTTGTATTTGATGTCATGTTTCCAATACTATAAATGGAAAAAAAAAAAAAAAAAAACCTTTCATTTTTGAGAATTGTATAGGCTAAATAATTTTAAAGATTCCTAAAATATCAAAGAAATTTTTAATCTTTTTTTGAAGTTGTATAATTTAATATGTTATTCTCTTGTGTGTGTGTAATAATTTAGAAATGTTGATAGCATAGATGTTGAAATGTTGATCCATAATAAAGAGCAAATTTGGCTGCCAAAGTAGATTAAATATTTGTTTTTATTCCAATAAATAGTTTGCAACCACAAACAGTTTAAAACACTAATCTTGCCTCTTCAAGAACATTCACATTTTTGATGCTGTGTTCGGAAGAAAGCAGCGAGGCAGCAGCTTAGGGAGAACAGAGGTGGAAACAAAGTGTGCAGCTATGGTAGCTTATTCAAAGAAAAGTTTCAGATCTCATAATTTTAAGTTAAGTTCTGATTTAGCTGTTTTATCATTGTTATGTAGAAGTCATATGCTACAATTAATTTAGAACCAGAAAAATCATTATTTTAGAAGAAAGAGGAGAAATACCCAAAATAAAATGAGGAATTAAGTGATATTGCTAATTTAAGTTATACAGTCAAAAGTCGTTAATCCGGACTCGTCGGGACTTTGGCGATTCCGGATTATCGATTTTCCCGGATTATAGATCATCAGTTTAAATCTGGTAAAATGGCATGCAGAAATTATAAAATTAAAAATATGAAACCATAATTTACGAAATAAAGAACAATTATGATCTAAAGGGTATCAAAATTTACAAAAAAAAAAAAAAAAAAAAAAGGCTTAATGTTTATTTGTTTACTTTATTAAACATTTCTTTCAATGTAAGTTGTTTAAGTTGCTTCGTTTTTTATGTGATAATACATTCTCTTTAATTTTAGAAACAAACATAATTTCTTGTTGAGTTACAAAGTTCCGCTGTTCAAGTCCTATAATTGCTGTGTCAAGAATACCGACTAATTTGTCAATCGAATTTTTTCGTTTTCAATAACCTCTGTCACTTTCTTCGCTATCGGAAGCGAATTATAATGACGAGGCATTTGATTTAAATCATATCAAAGACGGAGTACAACATCGAGATGAAATAATACATTGAGTAAGCAATTATAAGCCAAATAAAATAAAAACATCTGCCCTTAAAATAAGGATAGTGCTGACAGATCAACTTCCAATTCATTGCACGCTGCCGCTGCGTTAAAGATAAACAAAGTTTAGATAAACAAACGTTAAAGTTTAGAAAAACAAAGAATATGCCTTTATCCACTTTTTGTTTAATGGACTCCGAAAGATACTTTCGCTTTGTATATCCTTTACATATTAGTAAATATATATCGAAAATTCTATTTGACATAATCGAAAGTTCAAGCTTACTTTTATAAAATTGCTCTAACAGTCTGCAAAAAATAATAATCCGGATCCATTTCGAAGATTAAGGAACAGCGCAATCTGCAACATTAACTGAAATAGATAATTAAGATAATTTTAGCTTAGCTTATCCCGTCCGTTATACATTAAACGCGCATTCGTAAGCGTATTTTGCACACGCGCACACGCAAATTCGTCGCGTTGACGCATTACGCGCATGCGTCAAAGGGACGCATGCGCAGAAAGGTTGTAGCTTTGAGGTCCGGATTATAGATCATTCCGGATTATGGGTGTCCGAATTAACGACTTTTGACTGTAATTTTGATTCACACACACACACACATATATATATATATATACATATATTAATGCGTATTTATGCTGCAAGACAAACACATGATACTGACACAAATGACTTTTGAAGAAGTCCCAAGCTTTATTTTCACACATATAAAACCATCTTAGTAGATATTTAATACCAGTGACACAGGATTTACCCTAATGAAATGCGGTAAATCCTGTGTCACTGGTTTTAAAAGGAAGGCATAAGCATTTTGGACAGGGCAGCATAAGCAGAGCAGAGGTGTTTGCAGGGTGGAAGCTAGTGAAAGGAATGACATAGTTTATTGTGGCAGGAGTATTTATACTAAGTCTGATGTATAAGTACAGCTAATCTGTGATTGGTTAATTTTATGTTGTTATGTAACATGGAAGGATCTGGAATTTGTACAACAGATGAATTTAGAAAGAGACCACCAAATCTAGAATAGTTAATTTTGAGGTTGCCAATTATTCTTAAAGCAGCTATCATGTTTTGTTATATTTTACACACACACACACACACACACACACACATAGAAAATATTTTTGTTCTTTAAATCGTCATTCAGATCTATTTGTTTTAAAATAGGAATTAGCCAAGCAAATAGATGATTATACAGCTACTTATGAACCTGAAGATCAATTAGAATGGTCACTTGTGCTAGGAGAAATAAAATCATTTATTGAGGTAAGCTTTGCATCTGTGTTTTCTTTTCTCAGTTTTTTTTTTTAAATTATTATTTTTTTTAATTCCTTGACAGCAGGCACATAAATTCACTAGCACATAATATTTAAAAAATAATAGTGAACTTTCAGTTAGGTGTACGTTTTTTTGTATGCCTTAAATTTCGAGTGTAAAATAATAAGAATGAGTGATTATATTTGAAACAGTAGGTAATTAACTCTTTTCTTTGTTAATTTATATCATGCCTATTAAAAAAGAAAAAAAAATTAAAAAAGGCGTTATAGTTCCTCAACTTATGGTACATGCTACTGTTACTGCATAAAAATAAACATCTGGTATGTTACAGTAAAATTAATAAAAATGTGTATATTGTTTGTTGTTATCTTTTCCTATTTAATCTGCAGAATAGAGGTATACTTCGTTATTAATAACTTTTATGTGCAATTGCAATATATACAAATGGTATTATTATTCTATTGTTTTTATTGTAATATTATTTTATTCCTCAGGCTGACAATCTAGTAAATATTGTGGATGTTGATTCTACATCTGTTGTACTTTCTCACCGTTTAAATCCTTTAAATAGTCCTCCTGTGGAAAAACTTCCCTCCAATCATTTAACTTTACAAGAAATTCTAATCATGGGCAATTGCTGTGACCAGGTAAATTTTGATGCAAAATTTTCTCTTTCTCGCCCTCTCTTTATATATATATACTTGTATATGAACATACATAGAAACTGATGTACATGCTGAACAGTGGGGTTACGTCATTAATATATTGTACGTATGGTAAAATCCCTTTCTGAAAATTTAACAGGGTTCATACGGTCTTTAAGAGTCCTTAAAAGTCCTTAATTTTGGCCAAAATCAGCAGAAGGTCCTTAATTTTAATCATCTGAAATTTCTATCTGTTTTTACAACTGCCATTTTGAGTGTGAATTAGAATTTTGGAGGAATATTTTTGGTGATTCACTGACGTGTATGGTTATCTTTTGAATGGGTTCGTGGGTTATAATTTCTTTCTAGTTTTAATATAAATGATGAATACTCGAGGTTCTAAGCAAGAAATGAAACATAAGCATAGCAAATTTTTTTCTAATAAAGAGCTCTTAAACAACTTTTTGCTTTTGGGGATGGGAATTCTTTTATTAAATGGTTCTGAATTTGGTGACTTATGAACATTTTGGTGGTTTTAAGATCAGTTTCTATAGAAAATTTTTAATTCCAAGATCTGAGAATTTTTTCACGATTTTTTTTAAAAACATCGTAACATTGATAAATTTCATTAAAATAATGGTAATATATTGAAATTATATTTAAAAATAACATTAAAATAAAACATTTTAATTTTTTGCTGTCATATTATAAAGTTTCATTTTGGCAACTTATTATACAATATTTTGAATCTCAAAAATAAACAAGGTATAATGCTATAAAGCACAATTTACAAAACAGCTCTTAGCAAAAGTAAAATTAGCTGTGTAATTAATTAAAAATGTCTGTTTTTAATTTTTTCATAGTAAGAGTTTTTCCCATGTAATTGTCTCAGAATATTTAAAATTCTCAGAATATGCACAGTTTTTCTCTATAAAATTAATTTTACACTTTTTCCCTCCAAAATATTTCTGGCCTTTTGCTGTTACAGAATTGGTAGGGATAATTTTTCTTTAGGATTTTAGACATTGCAGCTTGGAAAGTTTAGAACGATTTGAAGGCAAGATTTATAGAGCCATGATTCTAGAGGATTCAAGAAATATGTGACAAAATGAAAAATGTCTCCATGATATCAACATGTAATGGATGTATTTTACAGAAAGTTTGCAGTGAGTTTCTTACTTTTTGGAGAACGTCTGGAAGAACAAAGAAAACATTAATATTTGAATGTTTTACTTTCAGATACTAGAATCTTAACATTTTTATCTTCCCTTTATTTTCTTGTATTTTTTACTAGACACAAGCATGGTATAATATCATAAACGCTTCTAATCTTATAACATGGGCAGGCATTATAGAAAGGGATTTTTTTATTAATAAGAGAAATTGAAAACTTACAATTTAAAAGATTCATCTAATTATGTCTTAATGCTTCATACATATAGCTGGCACTATGCATTTTCCCACTTGATGCAATTTCTGTGGATCCTAATTCTGTTGCCTAGTGCCTTTCTAAATGCTTCCAATGCCAGCTCTAAATACTAAAAGTTTTGCCATTTTTAGATTTTGTTGTTTGGTGTGTCATTAAATTCTAAAAATTCTGCCACATCAGCTCTGTAACTGGCCTTTACCATATATATTTCATATTTCTTCTGAATGTTCATATTACTAAATAAATAAAATTAGTCGCTTTTTCTGTGCATTCTAAGTGCATTTAGTGTTTTTTAGAATAACATAAATCCATTAATTAAATGCAAAAAAAATATCTAAAATGAGAAAGAAACGTGTTGAAGAAAGGAAACTGAATACATAAAGAAAATTATTCTTCAAAGATAAGATATGTGCAGTTCATTATTATTGTAAATTGACCCAATTTATTTATGATTTCAGCCATTTACTATAATTTCCCATTTCTATTTCCTCATATGATAGAGTTACTGAGCCAGATTAAATTTAAATTAAATTATATAATCTTTAACCACTAGTACACATTTTTAGTTTGAATTTGACTGTTCTTGTTTAATTACATCACTGTGAGCTGTAATTGATTTTGTTAGCATCAGAACATGCCTTTATGTTTCAAGTTCTTTTTAAATAAGAGGCTTATTTAAACCTTTGTCTGATATTGTAGTTACTTTGAGACATAGCGATAATATGCTTCGCGTCTGTGGGGGGTTTGGGACTATTTAACTTTTATCAGATCAAGTAAACATAGCTACATTGTGGAGAGGTTGGCAAGTTAGGAGATAAAGAACGTAAAAACTAGCAAGAGCATTAGTTTGCATATTGAGACAAATCTCTAATTGTTAGAAAAAATACTTAAAGAGAAGGAAATCTATATAAACTAGCCAAAATGTCTGGGAAGGCTTCAAATTAAAATGACAGATAAATATTTTGTTGAGTGTTGTTACAAAACATAAATGTTTTGTAGCTTTTAATGTGTAATTATCCTAATGTCATTTAAGACAGAGTTGCCACGCTACCTGGAAAACCGGGAAAAGTCAGGGAATTTAAGTGTTTTAGTCAAAATCTGGAAAAGTCAGGGAATTTCATACAACGATCCCGCCAAAAAAGGCGAGTTTTGCGCCGACGTCGGAAGAGATAACTTTTTTGGCAAATTGTGTATCACGTGAGCAGTTGGCATAGAGCCAATTTTCGCAGCTCCAATTTGATTGTTTTTTTAGAAAGGCAAAGCAAGTTTCCCGCAACTCTTGGTTTCCAGTAACCTCGAGAATCGCATGTGCAGTGCATGAACTAAAGAAAGTACCTGTTCTCGTATAAAACAAAATGGGTTTATTCGTAGTATACGGTACCATGAAGGTTAGAATTAAAAAAATATGTATTGTAAAGAAGGAAAACCTCTCTGCAACAAACGTGGCTCGGTTCATCATAGCGGGAAACAGCTGTGCATGCGCGATATATCTGTTGCCAAAGCTCGAAACCGGTGTCGAAGTTCGAAGGTCACGTTATCAAGAGTTCATAAAATGAATATCGTTTAAAATGTCTTTAAAGGAAAAGAAAATATTTTTTGGCGCAAGTAAATTAATTCATGGATTAGTTATTTTGAGGGGGGGGGAAATCTACGAAAATCCGTTTTTAAAATTATTGCGAAAAATCCAAGAAAAAAACGTTCTTTGATAAAACGTTTTTCGCAGTAATTTAAAAACGGATTTTCGTAGTTTCCTTTTTTGTCAAAGAACGTTTCTTCTTAACACGTGTTTCTCAATTTCCTGTACACATCGCGGAGAGGGAAATTCTGGCCGTTCCGTCGTCAAATCCCTTGGCAAATTTTCCCTCCGCTTTTTACATAGACGTTCTTTGGTCAGAATAATCTCCATGTATGGTACAGCGGGATTTGGCGACATGATGATGAGCAGTAAATGGGTCATTTTGTTCTTGGCGACAATTTTCAAAATCATGCGAAGGCTGTATCGTATACTAGGATTTTACCGCAAAATTTTTTTTTTTTTTTTTCTTTTCTTTTTAATAAATACCTTGTCATTTTGCAGTAAAATAAAAAATAGTAATCAATCATCTAGGATACCATGTAATATAACTATATTCGCTAAAATATCGTTGATTATTCTAATTAAATTTTAAGTAATTATCTTTATTTTTATGTATTCATATCATTTAATGTTGCTTCTTCCCTCTAAATTATTTATCATTAGTAAATAATATTTCCAAATTTCAGGAAATTTTCTCTGGCATAATCCTGAAATCAATTCTAGCAGTATGATGACATGACGAAATTTAATGCACATATTTTTTCCTTATGTATGCTGCGAAATAAATATAAAATACCTCAATTTAGTAAAAAAATATCATTAAATAGATTTTTTTCTTTCGTTTAGCTGTAGAATGCCTGCAAAAAAAGCCTTATTTTATTCCAGATTGGGCAGATTCTAATCTCAATCTTCAGTGGAGAAAACAACTTCTATTATAATATATTGGTGTTTTCAAGTGTTAAGGTGCCTTTTAAGAATTACACTCACTCAAATTAAAATTTACCTAAAATCTAACCTAACTTTTAGCATTGCATGCATTGTGATTTATAAGAACCGGACTAGCCTCGTGTTGAACTGGGGATGATCATGAGTAATAATTAAATAAAACATACAGTTTGTTATCCAATGTATATATCTTAAATTTTATTAAGTTTTTTTAAGCGGAAAAGTAAACAAAATTATCAAACAAAGTGTACCAAGAATAATTAAGAAATAATGTCCTCTGGGATTTATTGAATAATTAAGTGAATTTGTACACAGTACAAGTAATACCATAATTATTTACCTCTTAGCACAGCCAACGTACATTACGCGGATAGACTGGAATTTTCTCGAAACATACCTGGAAAAGTCAGGGAATTTCATTCTCCTGTTTGAGTGGCAACCCTGTTAAGAATCAATGTCATAAATTACATGTATTTTAAACTGTGAAATTTTATTAGATTTGATTTTAATAAAGCCTTTTTTTAACAATTATTGTTAAAAAATAAAATTTAATAGTGGTCATGTAAATCCATAATGACTAACTGATTACGCTTAAAAATTATCTCTACATATTAACACGAATTGTTGCCTTTCATTAATACTCACTGTGGTCACGAGATAAAATACAAAAATGTAAAAATTCAAGTAAAACTTATTCTTTGCATTTAGTGAGACTTAAAATAATACAAAAAAACTTATCACCGCTGGTGCTTTAATGGCTGATTGGAACCTTAAAGTATATTACCTGTGTTACAACCCCTGGAACTCTACAGAAAGCTACGACACTAACTGCATCAAACAGAGCTTGACTGACTTTCAACACTTGCCAACCGTGCCTACATCAGGCATTTCAGGTTTGTTCGAATCGGCAGGTCTCTCTTTAGACAAGCAGCAGTGGTGACAACATTCAGTCATCTTATTTCTTATTTTAACTTTTGCAGTTTGACATAAAATCTCCCTGTTATTTACTAAACCTCTAGACTGACCAAGTATGTGGCAAAATGAGACATAAAA